GGATGTCACATAGACTAGTATCTACCCAGGATGTCACACAGACTAGTGTCTACCCAGGATGTCACATAGACTAGTGTCTACCCAGGATGTCACATAGACTAGCGTCTCCCCAGGATGTCCCACAGACTAGTGTCTACCCAGGATTTCACACAGACTAGTGTCTACCCAGGATGTCACATAGACTAGTGTCTACCCAGGATGTCACATAGACTAGTGTCTACCCAGGATGTCACACAGATTAGTGTCTACTCAGGATGTCCTACAGACTAGTGTCTACCCAGGATGTTTCACAGACTAGTGTCTACCCAGGATGTCCCACAGACTAGTGTCTACTCAGGATGTCCCACAGACTAGTGTCTACTCAGGATGTCCCACAGACTAGTGTCTACTCAGGATGTCCCACAGACTAGTGTCTACTCAGGATGTCCCACAGACTAGTGTCTACTCAGGATGTCCCACAGACTAGTGTCTACCCAGGATGTCCTAAAGACTAGTGTCTACCCAGGATGTTTCACAGACTAGTGTCTACCCAGGATGTTTCACAGACTAGTGTCTACCCAAGATGTCACACAGACTAGTGTCTACCCAGGATGTTTCACAGACTAGTGTCTACCCAGGATGTTTCACAGACTAGTGTCTACCCAGGATGTCACACAGACTAGTGTCTACCCAGGATGTCACACAGACTAGTGTCTACCCAGGATGTCACACAGACTAGTGTCTACCCAGGATGTCACATAGACTAGTGTCTACCCAGGATGTCTCACAGACTAGTGTCTACCCAGGATGTCACATAGACTAGTGTCTACCCAGGATGTCACATAGACTAGTGTCTACCCAGTATGTCACACAGACTAGTGTCTAGCCAGGATGTCTCACAGACTAGTGTCTAGCCAGGATGTCTCACAGACTGGTGTCTACCTAGGTTGTCCCACAGACTGGTGTCTACCCAGGATGTCACATAGACTAGTGTCTACCCAGGATGTCTCACAGACTAGTGTCTACCCAGGATGTCCCACAGACTGGTGTTTACCCAGGATGTCCCACAGACTGGTGTCTACCCAGGTTGTCCCACAGACTAGTGTCTACCCAGGATGTCCCACAGACTAGTGTCTACCCAGGATGTCCCACAGACTAGTGTCTACCCAGGATGTCCCACAGACTAGTGTCTACCCAGGATGTCCCACAGACTAGTGTCTACCCAGGATGTCCCACAGACTAGTGTCTACCCAGGATGTTTCACAGACTAGTGTCTACCCAGGATGTCCCACAGACTAGTGTCTACCCAGGATGTCCCACAGACTAGTGTCTACCCAGGATGTTTCACAGACTAGTGTCTACCCAGGATGTCCCACAGACTAGTGTCTACCCAGGATGTCCCACAGACTAGTGTCTACCCAGGATGTCACACAGACTAGTGTCTACCCAGGATGTCTCACAGACTGGTGTCTACCCAGGTTGTCCCACAGACTGGTGTCTACCCAGGATGTCACATAGACTAGTGTCTACCCAGGATGTCACATAGACTAGTGTCTACCCAGGATGTCACATAGACTAGTGTCTACCCAGGATGTCTCACAGACTAGTGTTTACCCAGGATGTCCCACAGACTGGTGTCTACCCAGGATGTCTCACAGACTAGTGTTTACCCAGGATGTGCCACAGACTGGTGTTTACCCAGGATGTCCCACAGACTAGTGTCTACCCATGATGTCCCACAGACTAGTGTCTACCCAGGATGTTTCACAGACTAGTGTCTACCCAGGATGTCCCACAGACTAGTGTCTACCCACGATGTCCTAAAGACTAGTGTCGGCCGTGGATGTTCGCCCAATAGTATAAACCCTGACCTAGGTCCAACAGCCACTGTGACATCCCCGGCGTCGCAGATATTGACTGGCACAACACACGGCCCATAGACTCACCTGAAACATTCAAAAAATATCGCTGGCGTCTCTTATCTGAACTACTGAGGCAGGCCAAGGCATGTCCAGTTAACCTGAAATGCAATTACTATGATTCAAAACAATGTTTTCAGGCACAAAACGACCAGTCCGGCTTTGTAGAGAGAGAGAGAGCGAATCCGATTTGTGAATTTCAGTAGAAATAAATCAGTTTCCTTATATGCTGGTGTAATTCTGTAAAAATGCATCTGATGAGATACAGTGAAATATGCCATGTAATAAATTGTGCGATGCAGTGGTAGTGTCTGCATAAGTTAAAGTCATATATTGCTCATCTGAGTCTTGCAGTGGAAAGTGTGAGCGTTGCTAACAGCCGTTACGTGCAAGCCTGGACACTGATACACACACACACACACACACGTCTAACCACACACGAGAGGAAAAAGCGCATCCACAAGCAATAGGCTCGTATGCACGCGCGCACACACACAGAAACACAAAGTTACTTGTAACTTTTGGGAGCCCCAGTATCATGTTGAACGGGGCTTACCAGGATTGATACCTGTTTGATTCTCTTCCTTGAGGTGTTAATCCCGCTGACTGCAATTCTGGAGGCGTCAAACTACACGCAAATACTTGCACCCAAACATGGTAGAGCATGCAAATACTTGCACCCAAACATGGCAGAGTATGCAAATACTTGCAGCCAAACATGGCAGAGCATGCAAATACTTGCACCCAAACATGGCAGAGTATGCAAATACTTGCTCCCAAACATGGTATATTATGCAAATACTTGCACCCAAACATGGTAGATTATGCAAATACTTGCACCCAAACATGGTAGAGTATGCAAATACTTGCACCCAAACATGGCAGAGTATGCAAATACTTGCACCCAAACATGGTAGAGTATGCAGATACTTGCAGCCAAACATGGTAGAGTATGCAAATACTTGCACCCAAACATGGCAGACCATGCAAATACTTGCACTCAAACATGGCAGAGCATGCAAATACTTGCACCCAAACATGGCAGAGTATGCAAATACTTGCACCCAAACATGGTAGAGCATGCAAATACTTGCACCCAAACATGGCAGAGCATGCAAATACTTGCACCCAAACATGGCAGAGCATGCAAATACTTGCACCCAAACATGACAGAGCATGCAAATACTTGCACCCAAACATGGCAGAGCATGCAAATACTTGCACCCAAACATGGCAGAGCATACAAATACTTGCACCCAAACATGGCAGAGTATGCAAATACTTGCACCCAAACATGGTATATTATGCAAATACTTGCACCCAAACATGGTAGAGTATGCAAATACTTGCACCCAAACATGGCAGAGCATGCAAATACTTGCACCCAAACATGGCAGAGCATGCAAATACTTGCACCCAAACATGGCAGAGCATGCAACTACTTGCACCCAAACATGGCAGAGCAAGCAACTACTTGCACCCAAACATGGCAGAGCATGCAAATACTTGCACCCAAACATGGCACAGCATGCAAATACTTGCACCCAAACATGGCAGAGCATAAAATGCATGCTTACACTAGCAAATCAGTGCCGAGGTATGCATGTAACGACGGAAATGGAAGCTTTTACTTTACATTGCCACATTATTATTATTATTTACTACAAATACGCCAACTAGTACGTCTCAAACATTGCGCAAAGAACACTCGCTGTTTGCTTATACCACTCATTAAAAAAAAAGTGACGTCTAAAAACTGCTAGTTACTATTATTACAGTACTAGCTGCGCGCTCATATTCAGTCAACAGCTAAGCGCAAAGGGGGAAAATATCACGTGATGCACTCTCCAGCGAAATCTTTACCTTCTGCCGCTTACACGTACCAATTGATCACACCTCGCCACTGAAGTAAACATTTTCGAAGACTAGATCAGCGGGAAACCTACCCACAGGAAAACTTTCCCAGCCCGAGGACTTTGTCCCTTGCGATTATAGAACGTGCGCTGGGACGGCTGGCCTCCACGTGGTTGCGGTCCTGAAATGATTCATTCGTGTACCGTATTTACAGTCAGATTGAATGGGGCACCTTGGAATTGCAGCTGCATCATGGGAAATACCCAGTCTGCAGTGGCGTCAGTTTGTGATACATGGAGGGTAATTCTGTGAGAAGTTTCAACAAGTTTTCTTTTCTCTCTCTCTCTCTCTCTCTCTCTCTCTCTCTCTCTCTCTCTCTCTCTCTCTCTCTCTGCTGTTATGTAATTTCGTAACTCTGTGTCTCTGTCTGTCTGCCTTTAAATGTCTGTCCGTCTCTCTCTGTGCCTGTCTGTCATGTAAGTCCGTCTCTGTCTGTCTATACATCTCACTGTCTCTCTTTCTGTATGTCCGTCTCTCTCTCTCTCTCTCTCTCTCTCTCTCTCTCTCTCTCTCTCTCTCTCTACGTATCTGTTTTTCTCTTTCTCTCTCTGCTATTACATCAGTTCTTAACTCTCTCTGCCTGCCTGTCTCTCACTGTAAATCTCTCCCCCTCTCTCCCCCCCCCCTCTCTCTCTCTCTCTCTCTCTCTCTCTCTCTCTCAGCCTGTCACACGAACAACATTCTACTCACAAACAGTGTGAGGTTGACAGGCGGTCTGCCATAGTATGCCGTCTTCACGAAGCAGGTGATGCTGATTTGGCTGTCGATCGCTTTCTTGCCCTTGACCGCGATCTCTATCGGTGCCGGAGGTTCTGTCAGGGCAACACATACATTCATATATACCGGAGGTTCTGTCAGGGCAACACAGACATTTATATGGGCCGGAGGCTCTGTCAGGGCAACACAGACATTCATATGTGCCGGAGGTTCTGTCAGGGCAACACATACATTCATATAAGCCGAAGGCTCTGTCAGGGCAACACATACATTCATATATGCCGGAGGTTCTGTCAGGGCAACACAGACATTTATATGTGCCGGAGGTTCTGTCAGGGCAACACAGACATTCATATGTGCCGGAGGTTCTGTCAGGGCAACACAGACATTCATATATGCCAGAGGTTCTGTCAGGGCAACACATACATTCATATATGCCGAAGGCTCTGTCAGGGCAACACATACATTCATTTATGCCGGAGGTTCTGTCAGGGCAAAACAGACATTTATATGTGCCGGAGGTTCTGTCAGGGCAACACAGACATTCATATGTGCCGGAGGTTCTGTCAGGGCAACACAGACATTCATATGTGTCGGAGGTTCTGTCAGGGCAACACAGACATTCATATGTGCCGGAGGCTCTGTCAGGGCAACACAGATATTCATATGTGCCGGAGGTTCTGTCACGGCAACACAGACAGCCGAAGGCTCTGTCAGGGCAAAACAGACATTCATATGTGCCGGAGGTTCAGTCAGGGCAACACAGACATGTATATGTGCTGGAGGTTCTGTCAGGGCAACACAGACATTCATATATGTTGGAGGTTCTGTCAGGGCAACACAGACATTCAATTGTGCTGGAGGCTCTGTCAGGGCAACATAGACATTCATATGTGCTGGAGGCTCTATCAGGGCAACACAGACATTCATATGTGCCGGAGGTTCTGTCAGGGCAACACAGACATTCATATGTGCTGGAGGCTCTGTCAGGGCAACACAGACATTCATATGTGCTGGAGGTTCTGTCAGGGCAACACAGACATTTATATGTGCTGGAGGTTCTGTCAGGGCAACACAGACATTCATATGTGCAGGAGGCTCTGTCAGGGCAACACAGACATTCATATGTGCTGTAGTCTTCACAGTGAATGTTGGTTACATTGGGATCTTTAGCACTCTGGTGTGTCTAATCCTACGTGCACGGGTTTGAAATGCGAGTGCCACGTTCAACGTACCACTGGGGCTTGGTTATATTTGTGGAGACGTCAAAGGTTCCTATTACATTGCGTTTCATCTTGCGCCGTGTGTCTACTGTTTCTCTGACAAGTCTCTTATTTCTGCGGACGGTGTTCACTTGGCTGTCCGACTTCTGGTTTCTTCATGCCTGGCTGGTCTTGTATTGGTGGTCGGTTAGTAGGTACCCCACCAGGACATCACACAAGCGATAAACACCCGGTGACACAAAGTGCCACCATGCGGATGAGGATCACCCGTGGAGTGGTCCCAGAAATCCCCTTTTAGCCTTTAGGCCATATCTATGGCTAGGCCATATCTATGGCCCGGTTATTTTCAGGGCCCCCGGAAAAAAACCACTGTGGGGCTTCAATCAATTTTTAAAAGAGGCATCACAAAAAGGATGACTGCATGATGTTAATGTTTGATTTTTTTTCTTTCCTGATTCAGTGAGCTGGCCGGTCTGCTGTCATGGTGATGTCGCTGTTTTGACTGTGCTGCTACTCACTTTTTTCTGCTTTGTTTTCATTCTGCTCCTTGAAACTAGGCTGCGTTAGCGAAGTCGATAGGAGACTCGTTTTCAAATCCATCTGCGACTCACTGCAGACCACGTCAGTGTTTGAAACGGGACGGTTTCCGGGGTTCACCCAGCCTCTAGGAAATGGGTACCAGAGTTAATACTCTGGGGTAGATGGAGGAACGTCGCTGTTGCTACGGAGTTTCCTGCGGACCGTTACACAGGCGGACAATTTCTTATCAGCTGTCCATACTGGTGGCAGAGCACTTATTGTTTATAACCGTGTGCAATGACCTGGCACCGTACAGGCAGGAATAGTTAACACTCTTCCTGTTTGGGTTTGCTTTTCTGAAGTCTTTGTCCAGCTTCGCCGGGGGGCAGTCGCTGAAGGAGTGTGGCTCCGAACAGTACCGACAAGTGTTAAGTTTACTCTGACAAGACGATGTGGAATGCCAGGCTTTCTGGCACCGGAACATTGCATCACCTGTGATATATTTTGCTTCGATCGAGACAGACTGTCTGGTGTATCGTTGCCTTCTGACGTAATTATTGCAACTGGCAATGATTTGTGCTTGGAACCGAGTCGCTCTGCTTTTGTAATTGTGAGTCCAGGATTCTCTTTCCTTAGCTGTTGGAGGATTTCTTTGTCGCTCATGCCCAAGTTGCTCCATCGCACAATCCAGCCCCTGATATTATGGTACACGGTTGCCAGTACAGTCATCTCGTCCGGTAGCTGCGGTTCCTTTTTGCCGTTTATCTTGATGTCGCCCACAAGCTTATTGTTTTCCGTGTCGATCAGTCCTCTAGTTTTCTCAGTCTTGCGGTTTATTTTTTGCCGAGCAGGTTCTCCGGGATATTGTGTCAGCATCAGCACCATGATGAGGGCCATAATGGTGGCCTAACTGGTAGTGATCTGGCGTTGGAAAGATGTGACTAGGAAGTCCTGGTTGCCGGTCTGCTGTCTCTCAGATAAGGTAGGTGGTTCTGAGTAGGCTAGTTCTTAGTTCGGTTCTGGAGTTGGTAGCTGAGTCTGGCTCTTGATCGTGGTTGGAGGGTCGTTCGTTTTAGACTTGTGGTAAAGTAGCGTTATCATTGGGTGTGGCCATCTCGCGATAGCCTGGTCTCTGCTGGGTGGCAGGGTTCTGAATAACTCGTAAGCTAAAAAAAAAAAGATCCCTTTTCACGCCTTTAGGCGCATCGGGCATTTGGAAAGAGCACATATATTTTTACAGACCAATCGGCACTAGGTAGGTAATGTGGTCAGCATTACGCCGACCGTCTTTACTTCCCCAGTACATACATCCTGGCACCCATGTTAGGCTGAGTCGACCTGCGACGCCCCATACCATGATATAACTCCACGCAGCCAGCAGTGGGTTTCGATCGCGGTACGCTGGAATTACGAGTCGGACTTGCAACGACTTGGCCACGCACGCCGCATGGTTCTGAATAAGTCCTTAAAAGGACGTTTAGTATGCGCCCAACAATATATAAGGCTATATATCGACGGTACAGTAGCGATCTTGTAAACGTATGCGCAGTCATAATAGCGTGCTGCAAGACCTGACTATAGTGCGACTTGGCTAGTCTTCTTGTCTCGCTGGATAGTGCAGGAAACTTGCGATAGCTTGGTCGTTGAAGGGTGGCGGGGTACAGAAAAAGAGCCATTACAAGGACATTCAGGGAGCGCCCACAGTATACAAGCTATCGGAAATAAGGTTCAAATATTGTGCTGCTAGAGCTATCTCAAACGATCACCAGAATTACTTATCAGTTCTCTATTTTGGTCCCCCCCCCCCCCACCCCGGTTCCTGGATATGGTCTCAAAATGCTCAGTTGCTGATTAATAAGTTCCTGGATAAAGTGGAACAAACTGATCAGTTGCTGAACGGTATAATAAGTTCCTGGGTGGAGTGGAACAAAATGATCAGTTGCTGAACGGTATAATAAGTTCCTGGATTGAGTGGAGCAAAATGATCAGCTGCTGAATAGAATGGGACAAAACGGCTTTTTGCTGAAGAAGATGGAACAGCATGGGTAATTGCTGACCACAGGAACTTACTAGTAATAAATATTTTGACCTCATCCTTTATGTAGTCAGGCAGTGTATCTGGTAGTCTGTTCCTGTCTCTGCGGTGGCGAATGTTGCTCTGGTACACTCCATCACTGGGGAATCTTTCTGCCACATTCCGCATTGACGCTCCACCTGTGTTGAGCCAAGACATTGATTTGAATTCATTGGACACCAAAGTTTGTTAATTTTAGTCCAGTTTTTCCTTATTTATGTTTTTTGTTTCGCTCACGACAAAGTGTCTGTTCCATTCTGTCTTTTGTCCACATGGTCTTTGTGTCGCCAGGTCTTTTTCTATTTTGCCCGCGGCGTGTTGTTGACTGCACTAAGATGGCAGGGGGCCGATTACTTTTAGGATGGATTGTCCTTTTACAGGTACAATTCCGGTTTTCGTTATTGAACATTAGCGCCAGCAGTTAGCTGCTGTCCGGGACCTTTAGTGTTGGCACATCTGACAGCTGCTTTATGTATCTTTTACTTTGCGCGTACAAGCTTCAAGATATTCATACACCCCCTCCCCCCTTATAGACTTTAAATAGAACAGCGAAGGACATTTTGTGTGATCTACACTACTACAGGAGGCGGCTACCCGCCTCCATTGATGTTGCTGGAACAACGACTGACGTGTATTCTGGTTATGTTCTTTAGTGCTTGTCTGCCGATGTATGTTTTCTAGTGTGTCTGGGTACAGGACACATTTTTACGCCAATGGCACGTCAGTCGTATGTTCCTTTTCTTCTTCTTCTTCGTCTTCTTCTTCTTCTAGCAGCGTTCTCCTGCAGTAAACTGTGGCGAAAAGTTAGGGTTGTTCGTCGACTTCTGGGCTTTGGTCTTGTTCCAGAAGTGGATTTTTGCGTGTACAGTCGACCTACAGATCTACATTATTTGTAAGCAGACTGTTGATTTCTCGCATCACAGGGAGACACACTCTGATTTTACCCCCCCCCCCCACACACACACACACACAAAACTCCACACAAAACACCACCACCAGGTAGTGGACATTTACGACATACTCTTTAGGGCGGCAGTCTCAAGGATTTCACCAACAGCACAAGAAGGGACCGGGTCGCCAGTACCATCATTAGAGAGAAAGTTCGACCGTTCGGGGATTACATTAAAAGACAAACTGTGCACACCGAAACACAGAGGCCCACAAGATCTTAGTCAAATGAGGCACCGGCTCGCCAGGTGGGATGGGATCAAGGTGTTTAAATATCGCCTTAAACTGCGACAGGCCCAGCAAGCGGGCATTGGAGTAAGACCTTGCTGGAAGAAACGTTAAGAAGAGAAACAGATCAAATGATTTTAGACATGTATCAAGACTCCCAGCAGAGAGTAGACCACAGACAGCCCTGTCACTTAACACTTAATGGAAGCATCTGGAGGTCAAACAAGCAATCGATGGAATCTCCGAGGCCAAAATTCCAGCGTCTACGATGCACATGCCAAAGCTCTTCCCTGATGCAGCTTCAAAATCCGACACTGCTGTAAGGTGGTTTGGTCATCTAGTAGGAATACAGTCAGATCAAGCTATATATTATACTTTCTACGACAGAAAGTCTGGGCAGAAGGCGAGAGGAAGACCCATGAAACTAGGGGTAGACGGAATAATCGAAACCTGCAAACAGATGAACAAAACCATCAGGAATGGGACTCTCTACCATTATTAAACCTCATATAATGCTTCCGGTCAAAATGGACGCTAGGCTAGGCGTGGATAACAGAGTGAAGGGCCACAACCTGGTAGCAGGGCGTGGATAACAGAGTAAAGGGCCACAGCCTGGTAGCTGGGCTTGGATAACAGAGTGAAGGGCCACAACCTGGTAGCAGGGCTTGGATAACAGAGTGAAGGATCACAACCTGGTGACATAGCGTGGATAACAGAGTGAAGGGCCACAACCTGGTAACAGGGCGTGGATACCAGCATGAAGGGCCACAACCTGGTAGCAGGGCATGGATAACAGAGTTAAAGGTACTCACCAAAACTTGGCGGCGGCTGTGGGGAAATATAATGTCGAAAATGTCATGATTAAACTACGCAATCCTGGCCGTTTTCTGTTCCACAAATAATATCAATAATATTAGTATTAATAATTTAATTACATCAATTACTACCACTACTGCCACTTATAATAAAACTATTACTACCGCCGCTGCTGCGGCTACTACTACTATTTCTACCACTACTTACACTAACAATAATACTACTATTTCTACAGCTGCTGCTGCTGCAACTGCATGACTATAGTCCGTTCTAGATGA